CAATTTGGAATTTTCCTATCTTTTTTTAGTCCAATGTAGAAAAAATAATCCTTATGTTCACCTGATGGAAGGTCACATGCAGAGGAACACATTACTTAGTATTTTTTCTACAATGTTGGATCTCAGCCAATGAGAGAGACAGGAATTATTGATTTCAATAAATCATATGATAAAATCAAATTGATATTGTTCACTGAAAAATGATGAATTTGAAACTACAGTCATAATGTTGTAAAAGTGCTTCCTGTAAAGTATGATATATATTATGCTGTAAAAGCTTTTAAATAAAAAAGAATTACAAATTCAGTGTTCTCTGCAGTAAAGTAAAATGTACAGTATTATATATACATGATGATCTATGAAGTGGATAGTTTTTCCCCACATTTGATGGTTTTATGCAGTGATTATAATGTGCAGACATTATAATCACTGAGATGCGAGACAGAATAAAGCAACAATTAGTTCAATAATTTATACATAGTCCTGATAATATGATACACAGAGTATTGTATTGATCAGAGTTTGCCAAATTTTTGATGAGATTTTTCAAAACTGGGAGATTTATCCTGCTAAAGTTAATTTCCTGTCCATTTCCTAACATCGTATAAGGATTATTTGTGAACGTGACAGATTTGGGTATAAAATATTCATGCTGACTTTTGGGGATCTAAGCTTGTATTTTATGACAATCTTTTGAACTGTATAACTCTGAGATGTAGGAGCCACTCACTGACAGCTCTAATACCCTTTACAGTTATGGTGTTGTCATGGTAACTAAATGCACACTCAAAACTAATTATGTAAAGCTAAATATAGGTACATTAAGTTAAATTCAAACTCATATTCTACTACTCAGCCTCGTAATTGTTAGGAATAAATTCAAACCCTAAATTCATTTCTCAATTATTATTTTCTTTTCAGCCGGAGATCAGTGCATTTAACCTCATGATCCTGATTGAAATTAATTAATTAGAATTTTAGCATATTGTGATTAAGATTGTTGCATCAATTACCAAGCAATTAGTTTAGAAAATACCAGGTATAAAAGAGCAAAGAGTAATAATGAAAATGTACCCACAGCTGACTTTTTATGGTGTATATGAATTTTTGTAGAGTCTACCAAGGCACTGGGCTGGGATATTTCACAAACTGGAGGTAATTCAAGCCCTTGGTTTCTAAGTTTTATTCTTTCAGTGACGAGGCTTTCAGGTGATAGTGGATTACTTCACCTTTTTATTTCCAATCTTAGAGCACTTTTAGATAAAAATATAATTTCATTTTCTGATTTTGAACACTGTTCAGCCTCTCTTTGATATTCAGTTGTGATTTAGTTTGGGTGATTTCTAGATGTTAGTTAGTCGGACATCTTTGGTAACTGGTTATTGTGAATAGATTAATTTTAATTTAGTTTGTATTAGAAAGCCTTTTCTTTTATAATATTCTTTTATCAAAAATCTTAAAACGTTTACCCAATTTGTTATATTTTAGAGAGAAACTCCACATCTGTATAGAAATGGATAACTAAATCTGGGTAAGAAAGGGTGATTCTATCTGTCTCGAGAACTAAGTGACACCAGTAGTTTACTTACTTTAGCATTCTAGCAGAACGTTATGAGTTTGTAATTATAAGGATTAAGATTAATATAATGAATTACAGTGGAAAAATAGGGCCTTTGCTCATGGAATTGATTTTTTTTTTTTGGATTATTACAAATATGAAGATATAGATGAATTCAAGCAATTTTAGTGTACCGTTCAAGGCAGAACTTGAGTGTACCATACAAGGCAGAATTTTAGTGTACCAAATAAGGCAGAATTTTAGTGTACGTACCATACAAGGCAGAAGAACTGTGAACGATAGTATTGTTACCTCCAAGTCAATTTTCAAAAGTTAAGACATTCGAATGATTTTTAATATTTATATTGATATTTATATGGATTTTCATAAATCATTACTTCTTTGGGAAAACAACGAGAGATAACTCTAAAATTTTGGTAAAACTCGTGTTTTTCACTATAGAAATCAATGGAAAACGGAAAATATTTTTTAAAACATCTTTCCCCCCGTGAAACAAAAATTCCTTTTTACGGGTAATATGGACTGTCATTTCACAAATTCATACCAAAGCTTTTTGTGTTTCACGGGGGGGGGGGGGGGGGGGGGGGAACATATGTTTATATACAAAAAACGACAAAAATGCTTATTTTTTCAGCAATTTCCAAGTGCTTTACAACTGAAACATTATATTTTACTAATATATATGCTTAATTTTATATGCATAAAACATAATAAAAGATTTAAGAAACATTTATCCATATCCAAGACTATTTCAGAATATGGTGATGATTTATAGCCCGATTTCAGTGGAAATTATCGTCAACCCCCCTTATTTCAAGAGCTGGAATTAGGGATATTTTACTATTTAGCACTGGAATTAAAATAATTCATCAATTACCATTGAACTGTTCTTTGTATTAAACAAAGATTTTATGGCCAAATTGTCATCAATATTGAATTAAATGGTTGTAAAATGTAGGCGGGAATTGGGAGTTACTGTGCGTAGTTCTTTAGTGTACCAAGAATTACAAGGCATACAAGAATTTAAGTGTACTAAACAAGGCAGAATTTTAGTGTACCAAACAAGGCAGAATTTTAGAGTACAAAACAAGATAGAATTTTAGTGTACCATACAAGGCAGAATTGTAGTGTACCAATAATGACAAGACAGAATTTTAGTGTACCATACAAGGCAGAATTTTAGCATAATATGCATGGCAGAATTTTAGTGTATCATACAAGGCAGAATTTTAGCATATAATATACAAAGCAGAATTTTAGTGTACCACACAAGGCAGAATTTAAATGTACATAACAGTGCAGAATTTTATGTAACAAAGAAGGCAGAATTTTAGTGTACCATACAAGGCAGAATTTAAGTGTACCACACAAGGCAGAATTTAAGTGTACATAACAATGCAGAATTTTAGTGTACCATACAAGGCAGAATTTTAGTGTACCAAGCAATGCAGAATTTTAGTGTACCATACAAGGCAGAATTTTAGTGTACCATATATAGTGCACTATATAAGCTGACAATTATCATTTAATTACTATGTGTATTAGATCATGATTTCAAATTAGTTTTATGAATCTTTTTAATAAAAAATATTAACGTGTCACTGTTGTTTTCAATTATTAGAAAAATACTTATTGACTTCTGATATTCAATCTGTAAATGATATGCATATGTGATGTCATAGAGAGATATATGTGTTCAACATGATACCATTGTGATAAACATTTTGAGAAAATGTAGGTCTCATAAATAACCATTGATTTTTATGTGGCAGAATAATAGTCACCTTGTCTGTGTGTCCTGATCTATGTGTCTTTTTTTCAGTCTGTCTGTACTATTGCAAGGTCATAACGTTGTAATGGAAAAAAATTGGAAGCTGACATACTTGACACAAGGATTGCATATGACATGAGAATATGTCTTGACCTTATCTCAAGGTCATTTAAACAAGGTCAAAGTCACTGGCCCAAAAAGTATAAAATTCATGAATGGTCCAAAAGTTTCAAATGAACAAACATCTAATCTGATCAAGTTTAAGTTTACTTTCAAAGAAATTTAAAATTCCTGTCTTGGCCAATGCATGTCTTGAAATGGAAAAAACATTGAAAGCTTATACTTATTGACACAAAGATTGCTTATAACCTGGGAGTATGTTATGATCTGATCCAAGACCATTCAGGCAACTTCACTGGCAGAAAAAGTGTATAATCCATGTCTGCCCCAGAATTCTCTAATACAGTGACTAAAAGATTGCTTATGACCAGCTGAGGGTTTGTCATGATCTTGACCCAAAGTCATTTGGGCAAGTTCAAGGTCTCTCACAGAAAAAAAGTGTTAAACTTCTTGTGTCTGGTCCATAACTTTTAATGAAGAAACATTGGAGGTTCATATTTCACATAAAGATTACTTATGCCATGTTTTTACCTTGACTCAAAATAATTTGTTCAAGGTCAAGGTAACTTTCAGAGTAATGTATATGGTCAAGCCTTTTTATTTCAAACTTGATGGACCAAAAAAACACTTCGAGATATCTGAGGATTCGAGATATAGAGGTAAAAATATACAAAGAAAAGTCATTTTGGCAAGTTAAAGATAACTTTTAAAAGAATGTATAATTTCTGTCCTGGCTTTTATTTTAATGGAAAAGCATCAGAAGTTGATTCTTTTGCCCAAAGGTGTCTTTTGAGCTGAGACTGTGTTAGGACCTTTACCCAAGGTCATTTGGGAAAGTTCAAGGTCACTGGCAGAAAAAGTATATAATCCAAGTCTGATTATCATTAGAAATGGCCACTCTTTGAGCATTTCTATGTTTTAACACATCTTGTTTTACTATGTACTCAATCATCAAAATTTATGTGATGTAAACTGTCACCTTGTACAAATGCAAGCCACATTGGTATGGGTTATTTGTCTTGCAGGTGAAGAAATAAAACAATAGGTTGTTTATTACTGATGGAAGTCAAACCAAAGGTTAATTAGGGGTTAATTAATTAATTGTTTCCCTGTCACCATGCTTTGTCACCATTGTACTGTCATTGGTAAAATTCATGTAAAGTAGGCCTTTCACTTGATTACCTGTATCTAGATCCACTAAACTGGTAAAAACAGATTCTGACATTGACTTTTGACCTGTCCTTTGACACAAGTAAATTGGTGACTGGTTGTAACCTGTAGCTTCAGGCTTTTGTTAAGGATGTTTACATAGTAATATACAACCTCTCTCATCCCTTGTTATTCTGCATCAGACAGCATTATAAAAAAAATGTTTTGATTAGTCTGATGATAAGTTTATGTAGTTGTAAAAATTTAATGATTAACAATGATAGCTTAAGGAAATATCGAGACTTTGTCTTATTTTTTGACTTGAATTATTCATTCCTATTAGAGAAGAAAGTTTAGATCACTTACTGTTTTTTATTTCAGTATTGTTTCACAATTACATACAAGAGCCAAAAAAATGAGATCACACGGCAGATTGACTTCCGAACTGACACAGAGGTTGAATGTAATGCCTGGATTGACCATATCAAGCGTGCTCCGTAAGTATTCAAATTAATCCATAGCATGCCCCGTAAGTATTCAAACCCATAAACATTGTCCATTTTAACAATACAATATAATACATGCTGAACTGACCATATCAAGCATGCCATGTAAGTATGCAGTCATAAAATTATATAATATAAAAGTGGATTAATTATATTAAGTGTGCCTGGTAAGTATTCATGCATAACATACAATATTATGTAGATTGACCATTATTTAGTGTGCTCTGTCAGTATGCAGTCATAACATGCAATATGAAAAGTGGATTGACCATATCAAACATGCTCCTTAAATATTCAAGACATATCATACAATATTAAAGATTAAAATAAACCTTAACCAGCTTATTTTTACTACTGTAGATTCCTTATTTTTCGCGAGAACTTATTATTGCGAAATGGCTCTTTAACGTCAAATCTCGAGAACAATAATTCGCGAGTGGACGGTTGATCAAGGGATTTTACATTGATTTCAGCACCAAAAAAATAAAAGCGAGTAATTTTATTTCGCGATTGGTGCTTCTCGCGTAATTACGCGATAATTAATTCCTCGCGTATATTTAGGAATCTACAGTATTTGTGGTGTGATGTAGAAAAAAAAAATAAAGGAATGGCATATTCACCTGAAAGATGGGTGCAGATGAAATAACTTTTTATAACCAATTGTATCAATTTAGACATTCTTGTTTTTTTTTGGTTTTTTTTTGGATCCAATGTAGAAAAAAAAATGTTCACCTGGAAAATTAGATGCAGGTGGAATAATTCTTCATAACTGGAAGTTCTTGATCTAGTTTTAGACCAGTGTAGAAGAAAAAATGTTATGTTCACCTGTAAGTTCTTGTGCAGGTGAACATAAATTATATATGTATCATTTTAAAAAAAAAATTAACCTCAGACAAGTTACTGAAAAGTAGATTAATCATTCAATTCCATAAACTTCAGGCTTTCAGCACTAACTGGAAGTTAATTTATCTAACGTTCGTGCAACCGGATCCTGTTTGAAATAGTTGTTTAACAACAACATGGACAAGTAAATTTCTTTTATCTCTAAATAAAGTGTCCTAAGATTTAGAGATCATGAAACTTGCAGCATCCTTCCAATGGTAATAAGCACATTTTCTAGTTGATTTTGCATATTCATGCAAAGAAAGACAACTCTTTGTAATATAATGGAGATTCTAGTGAAGAACAATTTGATTAATGAAAAAAAAAACACAGCCAGAATTCCATTACAACTGCTTTACAGTAAAACTGTGGTGGGAACGTTTTAAAATTACATGTGGTACATGTACTTGGATATACAATGTAACAGTAAAAACAGTCTCATTAATGTCTGTTGACCACCCACAGGTTAAATCATTATAGATTCTAATGAAGACTACATGTATTAAATTAACCACAGTTTCACTTTTCCGCCATTCGACACAGCTTTTCCGCGACAAGTTTTACTGCCTTCCTGCGAACTTTTTTTCATACCTCCTCCGTTAGCCAGGTAAAACCTGTTGCCCCCACTTACTACGGGGAGGACGAAAGTAGGATTTTAAGCAGTAGGATCTCATGACTGAGGTTGTTTTGAGTATTTTTCGTTTTCACCACAGCAATTCCTTCAGCATCAGTTGTAATCGTGGCTTTGCAGTTTTTATCAATGTTGCATCAGTATGACGCATCCCCATTCTTAAAAAAATTACTTAAGGAATAGGTTCTGATGACGACCGTCTCTGGTCGAAACCGGTCAACCAAATAAATTTACTGCTGCATTCTCACGAAGTGTTGGTGATCTGTTTTATATCTTTTAGTTTAAGGAATAACTGTCTAATTTTTTGTTTTCATGATGTGATCAATCGATTGGCTTGGGTGATAATTTGCATAAACGCCGAAGGCATTTATGCATAAAATTATCACACAAGCCAATCGCTTGATCATCGTCATGAAACCAAAAAATCTGACAGTTATTCCTTATATTTACATGCTCTTGATTCTGCAAATTCACGTGCTACAAGCCCTGCTTCTGTCTCTATTTGTCCCGCCCCGCACGTGATTTTTTTTTTCACCACACCTATCGATGAACCAGTAGATTTATGTAGAAATAAAGTATTTTTACTATTTGAAATTTTATCTCAGACAAAGACATTGGAAATGTAAATATTTTTCTGTAAATCCATTTGTTTCCCTGATTCGTTATGAAGTGCGAGATTCATTCAATTTTTATCACCATGTGATTAAGTACTCACTACAGAGTAGAAAGCTTTGGGGATATACAGATAAATACAGGTAAATATCAGCAACCGTTTGATGTTAATTGTTAAGCTGGACCATTTAAAAATCGCAGAACGGAAGTATTCAAAAAAGGAGATAACACATAACATAGAGTAAAAAACCTATTGCGGAAAACAGTATAGAGTAGTCGCGGAAAAGCAACAAGGTTCCGAAAAATAAAATCATGGAAAAGCAGGTCAGCCAAATCAACAAATAGATTAATTCTGAGTGTCCTAGCTCAAATGCTCATTACAAGAGATGAATATCTAACTCTGCACCTGCACTTGAGTGATTCTTTGACAGGAATAGGTAAGGCTTTGGTGATTCTTTGACAGGCATAATAAGGCTTTAGTGATCATTTTCAGGAATAGGTAATTCTTAAGTGATTCATTGACAGGTATAGGTAATTCTTTAGTGATTCATTGACAGGTATAGGTTATTCTTTAGTGATTCATTGACAGGTATAGTAAAGTGTTGGAGCAAAGAGAGGAACTGGAGCAGAAGCATCTACATCTGCTGCAGATTTTGGACAGTGAGAGACAAGCCAAGTGGCACTATGTCCAGCAGACTGAAGAATTGGCCACATCAGTCAAGGAGCTGAGAACGGAGGTAGGACAAATCAGGGCATTGAGGGAAATTCTCAGACACTTGATACATGCATATATTTTTATAATTAGGACATTGAGGGAAATTCTCAGACACATTATACATGCATACAAGGCCCATGATAGGGGCATTGTGGGAAATTCTCAGACACATTATACACATATACAAGTTACAAAATAGGGACATTGTGGGAAATTCTCAGACACATTATACATGTAGGTCCACAATAGAGGCATTGAGGGAAAATCTCTTATTAATGACTATGAAATTAAATAGGAGTTGTGGGATTTGCAATACAGCTCTACTGACTAGCAATCATTAGCATTTTCAGAGGTAATACAGCAAGGAAACAGTGCTGAAACTCACTTCAAAGACATACAAATTTTGGTTTAAATATTTAGAAAAAAAATTTTTTTGAAGAAGATTTGTCCTTTTGCAAATTATCAAAGCCTATACTGTCCCTATAGGTTTTGAAAAATTGCAAAAGGACAAATCATGTTCAAAAAAATTTTTCCTAATAACAATGGCACTGTCCTGGAGTCTGTTGCAAGATGTCATTAGTTTTAGTTCAGTTTATGAAAGGACACAGCATATAGTTTGTATGAGCTTAACAATGGAGCATATATGCCAGCTGAAATTTTCCTGTTTCATTAAAAAATGTATTTATTAATGGTAAAATTATTGAACAGATCTTAAAATTTCAGCTACAGAAGTATAAGAAGGAGAGGGTGTCCACTCATAAAGTAGAGGAGGAGACTGATGAAATCAAGAAAATCAAAAAGGTTTAAACCTTAATATAGTCATATACAAAATAAATCTGTTATAATAATTGTTATTTTATATATATATCAGTAAATACTTGAAAAATTTCTGCATACTCTAGACTAAAAGATATATTTTACTGATCAAACATGACAGGAGTTATTTCTCTTTGGCAGGTATTTTTCAGTGAAAAGACTGAAAATAAATTGTCAAAATATTAAGTTTGGTATGTTATGGTTTTTAGCTCCCCGAGTCTAAGGCTCAAGTGCGCTTTATGATCAGCATTTGTCTGCTTTCTGTCCTTAATATTGTAAACTTTTCACAAACTCATTTTCTTCTCAGAAACCAATTTCAACCAAACTTGGCACAGAGTATCCTTGGGTGAATGGGACTCAAGCACATTCAAATAAAGGGCCACACTCTCTTGAAAGGAAAGATAATCATGCAAGAACACACAAAAATAGGGTGGGTGTCACAAAAAAATTTCTCAAGAACCACAGGGCTAAAAATGATGAAGGCTTCTTGACATAGTGACTACAGCATTCAATTTTGTTCAAATCATTCCCCCCCCCCCCCATACACACACACACACACTCTGGGGAAGGCTGGGGCCACAATAGGGGAACAAAGTTTTTCTTTGGAATGTATAGGGAAAATGTTTAAAAATCTCAAGTCTTCTCAAGAACAGCAGGACCATGATTAGTGATTTTATTATGGCCCACAGGGTAGGGTGAGGCCCAGTAGGGTATCAAAGTTTTACTTTGGAATATATAGGGAAAAAAGCTTGTGAAATCTTCTTACCAAGAATAAGAGGGCCATGATTAGTGATGTTAGTATGCAAATATTGTCAGGTCATGTAAATTCAAGTTTTTTCATGTGGTAGAGTCTGGGGCAACAATAGAGAATCAAAGAAAAAATTCTTAAACCTTTGTAAACCATCTTATGTAAAGAAAAGAAAAGTAATAAGTAGTCATATTTAAAATATGCAAGAAGGTGATTCAGGTGAGTAATGTGGCCCATGGGTTTCTTTTGTTTTAGAAGACATTATTGATGATCCTTTCAGTAATTTTTTTTATATATCTTTATAAATTCTAGGTTCAAAGTTTCTTCCGTGGTTGGTTGTGTCGGAGACGATGGAAACAGATTGTGGAGCTGTATATTCGTTCTCCACATGCAGAGAGCATGAGGAAGAGAAATAGCATTGTGTTCAGTATGGTGGAGTGTGAAGAGGAGTATAATAGACAACTGTCCACTCTAGTCACTTGTTTTCTTCGCCCTCTCAGAATGGCTGCCTCATCCAAAAAACCACCAATCACCCATGAAGATGTAAACTCAATTTTCTTGAACAGGTACTTGCAGTTGGCCCACAGTGCAACATTTATGATTGGGAGAAAGTACATGTAGTTCAGCAAGATCTTCCAATTTTAGACTTTTTCCTTTTCCTCCTGATCAGGGGCAATTAATCAATATTATCTTAACTTGGCATAAAGCATCGTTTGGTGAAGGGAATTTAATTTTTATTCAGATGAAGGGCTACACCTTAAATCAAGAGATTTTAAGCAAAAATATAAATTTTCTTGGGGTACATTATTTTGAAATCTTAAGAACACCTGCACCACGTAGGATCAAATACATGTTGATCACATATGCTGTCTTCTTTATTGTGTTATAGGGGATATATCAATTGCAACATTGCAGAAAATACATAACCTGCAATTAGCAAATTGTGTAAAAAAATTTGCAGTGATTGCAACAGTTATACTCAATACAACGCAACAAAGAGAGAGATTTTATTATTTTTATTTACATCGTTTTAAAATATTCATATAAAGTGGATGAAAGTAAATAAAAAATTGTATTATAAATTCAAGCATAGCGTAGATGGAAGGGCCATGAAATAGTTGACATTAACACTTCCATATCTGAATGTACAGATGGCAGTAATAAACTGGATCTTACTTACTAATGCCCTGTTCACACGGAGATTTTAATTCGCAGTAAATTAATGCGAAGTAAAATGATGCGAATTAAACTAATGCGAATTAAATTGCGTTCACACGACAGCTAATGCGAAGTAAGCTAATGCGAATTAAAATGTTAAATTTCTACTATTAGGCTATTCAGTAAGGCTATTATGACGTCATTTGCGGATCACATCACATTGTGCAGAGCAGATATACATTTGACATAATTTCATAGTGTCTGTACAGTTTTTAGTGATTAAGATGGTTTTCCTTTGTTTTTCACTCAAAAATAGCACAAATTTGACCACCGACATGTGGCACGTGACTTAATTCTGCCCTTACGCATGCGTCAAAATTTAATTCTAATTAGCTTCACTTAGCGTTCACACGGAGCTAATGCGAAGTAATTTAATGTGCAGTAAACTAATTCGAATTAAACTAATTCACATTAAATTCCCCGTGTGAACGGGGGTCAAATTTAATTCGCAGTAACTTACGTTTAATTCGAATTAAACTCTCCGTGTGAACAGGGCATTAGAAATTAGTTGTTATAACTTCATATTTGTGCAGTATGGTTTTCAGAAGAAAACTCGATGGATTTAAGGAACATTCAAATTTGTACAAGTCATGGCTCATTGACTAGGGTAGGATCTTAAGGGGGGATCAAAATTTTGTAAGAGATTGAATGGTAATTCAAAAGAAATCTTTAAAGATAAAACTGATATGCAAGCATCCCTATGCAATACATGCCACATTAGTTTCTGATTTCTTCCAATTGTGTACACAGGAGTGAGAATGGGCCACAGGAACAAAGTGTTCACAGAAATACGAGGGGTGATCAAAAAATTCGTGAACTAATTGAATTACTTCTATAAAAGAAATAAAATTAGGTTTCAGTGTTCATTATTTTTTAAAGTAGTCCCCTCCAATTTTAATGCACATCTGCCACCATTCTGACCATGCGTGAATCACATGGTCCAAATACTCATGTGACATGCTCCGTAGCGTTCTGTTCACAGAAGCTTAAAGCTTTTTCCCAGTCTTATATTTATTACTATGCAAGTTGTTTTTATAATAAGAACAGTCCATTTGTCAGAAATGGCCAAATCTCGGCAATAGGATGGGTGAATAAAGATATCCTTTCCCAGAATGAGCATGGTGACCAACACAACCCGAGTCCTCTGTCTTGGGGGCATCGTTTATCCAATGTGGATAAAGTATGCGCGCCTTCTATTTATCATATCTGATATGTTTAAATTCTAAAGTAAACAAAATTTTAGGGATTAAAGAATTATATTATTGTTAAGATATTCAACTCTTTCTCTAAATGTAACTTGGCAATCTTTGATAACAAATTGCTCAACTAAGGACACATCTCTATCCCATGTTTCTTTCACTGGGCAACAGAACAAACGTCATTTTTAACCATCTCCCTTTCTTCACTAAAACAATCAATCCAAATAACAATTAAACTTCTAGCAAGTCTTTTGTCTTCATAAATCTTGTACAAATTATTATATGCTATTGCAGAGGAATTTCCAAGATATACGTTAAACTTTACAGCCGTTTGTTGCTCGAGTAAGACTGTCAGTCAACCATTTATTTGTCACAAGTCATCTACATATTGACATCATTTTCACATTGTGATGTCACAAACATGGAGCAAAACATTTCATAACACATGCTATTTATAGAGCATGTGTATGACTATATGTGTGCCAAATTTCAATCTGATCTGAGTTGTGGTTTTGTAAATATAGCGATAGTTCGTGAACTTTTTGATCACCCCTCGTATATGGACTTCCGTAATCTTCAATAAGGATATAACCAATTGTCAATTTGATATCAAGCTTAAATATTTTGTAAATGAAGTTTGTTGACATAGACTATATTTAATTAAGTGGTCACAAAAAAAGTTTTTTCTTTCTTACATACTCATTTGTCAGGAAGAAAAAAGAATTCGGTCCATGGACCTCTTACTTATAATTTGAGTTCTATATTTTACTAAATAGAACTCATACTGAAAATTTTGTTTGTATTTTTTTTTCTTAGTGAAACCCTGCTCTTTTTACATCAAATTTTCCTAAAGGGATTATGTGCTCGACTAGAAAACTGGCCAACTCTCGTTCTAGGTAGGTTCTCCTTTAAAACTGAAAATCTTTCTTGTTTGCATATGAGTACCTTTTTTTTTAGAAAGTACATTTTCGTGTGATAACATGACTATGTAAATGCATACCATATCCTTGAATACATGTATGAGAATTTCTATCAGTGTAGGACTGAATGCTCTTTTGATTTTACAGGTGACCTGTTTGATATGCTTCTTCCGATGTTGTGTATATACCAGGAATACGTTAGAAATCACCATTACAGTCTTCAGGTCCTAGCAGAATATAAACAACGACCAGAATTCAACGCTCTCCTGAAACGCTACGAAGAAAAACCAATGTGTGAAACCCGAACACTAGAAATATTTCTCACCTATCCTATGCATCAGGTGAAACTTTGATTATACTTATGCCCTGTTCACACGGAAAGTTTAATTCGCAGTAAATTAATGCAAAGTAAAATAATGCAAATTAATCTAATGCAAATTAAATTTCTATTTCTACAATAAGGCTATTCAGTAAGGCTATTATGACGTCATTTGCTAATCACGTCACATTGTGCTGAGCAGACACATTTGACCACTGATTTGACATAATGTCATTGTGTCTGTACACATTTTAGTGATTAACATAATTTTCCTTTATTTTCCACTCAAAAATAGCACACGTACCTATATCTGACCTCCAACATGTGGCCTGTGACTTAATTCTGCCCTTACACATGCGTCAAAATTTAATTCAAATTAGCTTCACTTAGCGTTCACAGGAGCTAATGCAAAGTGATTTAATGCGCAGTGAATTAATTCGAATTAAACTTATTCGCATTAAATTCTTTGTGTGAACGCGGTTCATATTTAATTCATATTTAATTATGTTTAATTCGAATTAAACTCTGCGTGTGAACAGCGCATTAGAAAATAAGATCAAGAGAGGAGGAGGGGAGGGGTGTGTTCTTGTTTCCTATCTACCCATAATCTTGACCTTAGTTTTAAATAAAACATGACAGACAAAATTTTGGAATATGACCATTACCAAGGGACTAAATTGATCATGTGTTCAAGTGTCCTCCACCAAGTCGTAAATTTCATGTCACGTGTGACGAGTTTCAATCCCAATGAGGTGGGGTTGGGTTGGTCATAGGTTGAAATACTGACGATACTTAAATGATTATCAAGACTTATGGCCCATTCATTTATCAACATTAATCATGCATAAAACTTTTTACAATTCTGATTTCAGCATGCTAAATATTAATTTAATCCCTGAGTAAGCCATTTTACTTGAAAAATTTCACAATTTTTTTTTTAAACAATGATAAATTAGAAATCCTGTGAAGGTTAATTTTAAGACTAAGTATTCATTTCTAGATTCCTCGTTACATCATCACCCTTCATGAGTTATTAGCACACACTCCACATGACCATGTAGAGCGGAAGAGTCTAGAGTTTGCCAAGAGTAAGCTGGAGGAACTGTCTAGGGTAAGTGATTACCTACTGACTGATTTTGTGTATGTACTGTGTGTGATTGTCTAGGGTAAGTGATTACTTACTGACTGATTTTTTGTATGTACTGTGTGTGATTGTCTAGGGTAAGTGATTGCTTACTGACTGATTTTGTGTATGCACTGTGTGTGATTTTCTAGGGTGAGTGATTACTTACTGACTGATTTTCAGGGTGTTCGAGTGTGTGTGATGTCTGAGGTCTACAGTGTCACTACTGACTGAGTGTGTGTGATGTCTGAGGTCTACAGTGTGTCTACTGACTGAGTGTGTGTGATGTCTGGGGTCTACAGTGTGTCTACTGACTGAGAGTGTGTGATGTCTGAGGTCTACAGTGTAACTACTGACTGAGTGTGTGTGATGTCTGAGGTCTACAGTGTGTCTACTGACTGAGTGTGTGTGATGTCTGAGGTCTACAGTGTGACTACTGATGGGTGTCTGTGATGTCTGAGGTCTACAGTGTGTCTACTGACTGGGTGTCTGTGATGTCTGAGGTCGACAGTGTAACTACTGACTGACTTTGTGTGATGTCTGAGGTCTACAGTGTGACTACTGACTGGGTGTCTGTGATGTCTGAGGTCTACAGTGTGACTACTGACTGGGTGTCTGTGATGTCTGAGGTCTACAGTGTGACTACTGACTGGGTGTCTGTGATGTCTGATGTCTACAGTGTGTCTACTGACTGGGTGTCTGTGATGTCTAAGGTCTACAGTGTAACTACTGACTGACTTTGTGTGATGTCTGAGGTCTACAATGTGACTACTGACTGGGTGTCTGTGATGTCTGAGGTCTACAGTGTCACTACTGACTGAGTGTGTATAATGTCTGAGGTCTACAGTGTAACTACTGACTGAGTGTGTATGATGTCTGAGGTCTACAGTGTGACTACTGACTGAGTGTGTGTGTTGTCTGAGGTCTACAGTGTGACTACTGACTGGGTTTCTGTGATGTCTGAGGTCTACAGTGTGTCTACTGACTGGGTGTCTGTGATGTCTGAGGTCTACAGTGTAACTACTGACTGAGTGTGTGTGATGTCTGAGGTCTACAGTGTGACTACTGACTGGGTGTCTGTGATGTCTGAGGTCTACAGTGTGACTACTGACTGAGTGTGTGTAATGTCTGAGGTCTACAGTGTGACTACTGACTGGTTGTGTGTGATGTCTGAGGTCTACAGTGTGACTACTGACTGAGTGTGTGTGATGTCTGAGGTTTACAGTGTCACTGCTGACTGAGTGTGTGTGATGTCTGAGGTCTACAGTGTAACTACTGACTGAGTGTGTGTAATGTCTAAGGTCTACAGTGTGACTACTGACTGAGTGTGTGTGATGTCTGAGGTCTACAGTGTAACTACTAACTGATTATGTGTGATGTCTGAGGTCTACAGTGTGACTACTGACTGAGTGTGTGTGATGTCTGAGGTCTACAGTGTCACTACTGAGTGTGTAAGATGTCTGGAGTCTACAGTGTGACTAGTGACTGAGTGTGTGTGATGTCTGAGGTCTACAGTGTAACTACTGACTGAGTGTGTGTAATGTCTGAGGTCTACAGTGTGACTACTGACTGAGTGTGTGTGATGTCTGAGGTTTACAGTGTGACTACTGACTGAGTGTGTGTGATGTCTAAGGTCTACAGTGTGACTACTGACTGAGTGTGTGATGTCTAAGGTCTACAGTGTAACTACTGACTGAGTGTGTGTGATGTCTGAGGTCTACAGTGTAACTACTGACTGAGTGTCTGTGACGTCTGAGGTCTACAGTGTGACTACTGACTGAGTATGTGTGATGTCTGAGGTCTACAGTGTAACTACTGAGTGTATAAGATGTCTGGAGTCTACAGTGTGACTAGTGACTGAGTGTGTGTGATGTCTGAGGTCTACAGTGTAACTACTGACTGAGTGTGTAATGTCTGAGGTCTACAGTGTGACTACTGACTGAGTGTGTGTGATGTCTGAGGTCTACAGTGTGACTACTGACTGAGTGTGTGTATGTGTGTGTGTGATGTCTGAGGTCTACAGTGTAGCTACTGACTGGGTGTCTGTGATGTCTGAGGTCTACAGTGTGACTACTGACTGAGTGTCTGTGATGTCTGATGTCTACAGTGTAACTACTGACTGAGTGTGTGTGATGTCTGAGGTCTAAAGTGTGACTAGTGACTTTGTAAACAGAGGAGGTTCATTTTCCAGATGATTCTTTTGTATGATTAATATACATTTGAATACTGATTTAGGCAAGAGTTTAAGTAAAAACTAACACCAGGTGAAAGATATATAGTTTAACAAAAGACTGACCAAAGTTTTTTTTTTCTTGTATTCTGTACTGATACGCAAGGGTGCATGAAATGGCAATTAAAATTTTATAGGGCTACAATCAAATCGCTAAAAACCGCTCATGGTAGCTCAGTAGGTAGAGCGCTTGCTCTGTGATTGGGAGGTTGTGAGTTCGAATCTCGACCTAAGTCGATAAAAAATGGGTAGCAACTGTTCCTTTGCCATGTGCTTGGTACTTTGAAGTGAAAGCTGCGGGTCCTTCAGATGAGACCTTAAAAAAAACGAGGCCCCTTGTCACGGCAGGCGTTGGCACGATAAAGATCCCTCACTGCTTACCTGAGTGCTGAGTAAAGGTCAAAATTTGAGGTCCTTCACCGGTATATGGTGACTTCTCTATATGAGTGAAAAACTCTCAAATGGGACGTAAAACAACATACAATCAATCAATCAATCAAATCGCTAAAATAAGCCAAAGTTTGCACCACACTAAAAACTGCTATATGGTAGTACATTGTACATACTGTTTTTCTGGTATTAAGAATTCATATATCCACTATCTATGATTGTACTGTTTCTATGGTAAAGACATAATCTATCCACCATTGAACAGAGGGGCACATACGAGGGGCATTTGAAAAGTTCTGAGAACTGTTTGATAAAATATTAATCATTTCACGGATTTCCATGCTTTTTGTACTTTCTCTGATCTATAAACATGCTGTCAATAATTTTTTTTTCTGTTTTCTTCCTAGAAATAAAAAATCAGAGTTATTCTTTGTATCCCATGTTTGTTGATTATATTCAATATTATTGTGATAATGAAATGGAAATGTAAATTTGATTTTAGAGAATATTTATTTGTGCTTCAGATTATGCATGATGAAGTCAGTGAAACTGAAAACATCAGAAAGAATCTGTCCATCGAGCGAATGATCATTGAAGGTTGTGACATTTTACTGGATGTTAACCAAACATTTGTCAGACAAGGTTAGTGATACTGCAATGTAAGCCATGTTTTTAGTTACCCTTTAGAAATAAGGTTTCATTTTTAAACATCTGGCAGGAATATAAATACAAGTTGGTCATGTGATCAAATAAAGCCCAAGAGGCTTTATGGTACCACCCCATATTTATATCCTGATAGATGTTTAAAAATGATACCTTATTACTTATATTTACATTTGTGACTGATTTGTACCAAATATTTGTGTATTATAATTTAAAATGATTTATTTTATTCAAACCTCAATGGTTTTACTTGAATGAGTTGAACATGTCGACCACTTGAGATCACCGTCACTGTGAAATTATGTTGACCTTTAGGTCACTTAACAATGAACTTGTGGTCATGTGATGAACCTGTATCTATATATTGATAGATACACATTTCTCAAATGGTGTTATATAAGGGACAACATCTACAAATGTAAAAGTAAGCCACATGAACTTTTCCAATCAAAGTTTGTTTTTTGCATGTCTGTCATCCATTTATCTGTAATTTTTTAATATTCTCAGTTTCTTCAGAGCCATTTTATCATTTCATATATACTTGTCACAAAGCACCACTGGCTAAAAGGATTCAAGTTTACTCAAATGAAGGGTGGTGATTGATTCCAAAGGGGTGTGGGGGGGGGGGGGGGTATGAGTTAAGGAAAAGTAACAAGGCTATGGATGGAAAAAAAATCCTGTGCTTTGGAATAAAAAAAAAGATAAGTAAATCCTCCTGGTATGATATTCAGGTGTTAAGATGCTTTAAGGCTTTGTGTTTTACAGAGGAATATTGAAATATTAGATAACTCTTTGAAAATTTTCTTTAGAAATTCTTTTTTATCAGGGGTTCTGAAATGTGTATATAGTTGAACTTGGTTATCTCAAACTCCAGTATCTCAAATACCATATCTTGAGTTAAAAGTCTCAACCATTTTTTCTTTATGTATTTTAACCTTGCTATCTTGAATCATCGGATATGTTTTCTCTTGGTTCCATTGGGTGTGAAATAACAAGGTTTGACTGTATTTATATCAAAGCATTGGCTTTTTTTTTGGGGTTTCATTCTACTACTCCTATATCTTGAAATTAAACTAGGGAAATGTTGAAGGTTAGGGAGGAGGGAGGGGTGTTAGAGTTTTAAAGTTTTTTCATAAATAATTACAGTCAAACCTAATGTTATCTGGAACTCAATGGGACCAAGAAAAAACTTCGAGATATCTGAGTATTCGAGATATCAAGGGTTATATATATTTAAAGAATAAGTGGTTAGGAATTCCAATTGACTTCGACATTTCCCTGGTATTTGAGATATCAGTGCTTGAGATACCGAAGTTCAACTGTATATACTTGCAGTCAGTATTGTGTACAGTGTTTCATTTAAGTTTGCAGCCACAAACCACTCAATCAGAATAATCAGTCTGAGAGAGAAAACAGTGTGACTAAGTCGAGCATCGAATGCCATGGGTTTATTGTTTATAAAATATCTCATTTAAATTCCAGTATGGAATACTTTGTGCATAGTGATGGAGTAACTAGCACAAAAGCCATTCTAAACATAGGTCTTCTGTGGCCCTGACTCAAGATTGTTTGGACAAGTTCATGGTCAAAGTGTACAGCAGTTTGAAATTCTTGTTTAGGCATTCACTTTACAAGGATAGGATTGGATAAAATTTCACATAATACATATATACAGGCACTTTTTTTCCAATTTTCTTCTCCAGAACAACAAGGCCATGTTAGTCCTATTGATATTGAAGCTTGTGGATTCAAGTTTGGTTAAGTAATAACCATAAGAGGCTGGGTGTGGTCACAATATGAGGCAAAAGTTTTCATGGGGATAAAGAGGGAAAACATTTTAAAATATTCTAAGAAGAACAGCCAGGCTAATTTAAGGTGACTCTGGTTAGCAGTTTGGCCCATGGGCCTCTTGTTCTCATAATGATGTTAAGAGTGGACATAATCTTTTAAGTCTCATTTTACCCTCAAAAAATTAAATGATTGGAAGTTAAATCAAACAGAATAAAGTTGACTCTATAATTATTGTGGATCGAAGTATAGGTAGAGTGTGAACTTGGGCCAGGAGATTCATAAGTTCACTGTTATCTGTCCATTGTAGTTCAGTATTTGTCTCCTTGCCATGTAATCAATTTCCTCAGGGAAACCCTAGCTGTTCATCCTTTTGAATGTTATATTGGAAAAAAGTATTGATCTGTTTATATGTACACCCACAAGTCAGTTATAGCAGTGATTACGAACAGCAGCTTTAATAGATGTAGTGACCATTGCTTGTCACCTGATGTCAGGATTCCTATATATATCTATAGTCGAGTTATGTGAGATATCTCATACGTGACAGAATTTGACCAGTTGATTTATGATTACTTACATGCGCCTTTTTTTGCAGTGTGCATTTAAGGTTTGTATTATTTTTTTACCTGTGTTGTCACCTGGATTTATCTTGTTAATTATTTGAGAGATGTGTTTTGTGTTCTTTATAATCAGTGGGATTTGATAGGAAAAATTTCATCTTAAGCTGGAATATGTATATTGCATATAAACTTCATTTTCTTGTGCATTCTGACCCGTGAGGGATATGGAATAAAATGACCCAGGTGTCTCACAACTAGATAGAATGAGATTTAGGAATCATATGCTTTACAGTTTTTCCAGCTGACAATTAAAGCTTCCTTTTGTTTTAGTTCATGGTAAGATTGACTTTGTTTCATGTGCTAATGTATTTCCAGTGATGAAATTTGTTTCTGGGGTATTTTGAAATCTCGATATCTGACTCTGTCAAATTGTTCCAATGATTTCGTCATGGTTGAGGGAGGTGTACAAAATAGATGTTTAAAATTACAACTTCCTCATCAGGTGCACAGATATTGTGCAGTGCTGATCATGAGTTTTGCTGTTCAATCCCTAAAGGGTATTAGAACAACTCTATTTATAGCTCTCTGATTCATTAACAGAAAGGGAGGTGGAGATACTGTATCAGGATTTTTATAGAGAGTACTATGACAGAATTGGTAGAAGTCTGCAGATTTGTTGATGCTTGACTGGTGATCTTGCCTAGTTTATTACTACAAACAGGCTGTAGCAGAGCCACTAACCAGGCCATCCCAATTAAGATTTAACGCTATTGATTTTATGTGGAGTCTGCTGTGTGCTTCACAATCATGAGACAGATTTATCCTCACACAAACCAAGTATTGGAAAATCTCATTATATTGATCATAAAGATCTATTCCTAACATATCTAACACATCAGGAATTTAGAGAGTGTACAGACAAAAAGGGGAGACAATTATGTTTACTAAAGGATGGCTGTTAGGTTGAAGGTGACCACTAGGTGGCAGGCTTATTCCCAATATCCTATGCACATGCCCAAAGAGACATCACTTTATGCCACTCTTCTGTCAGTCATTGAACTTTTGTGAATGTCAATGTCAGTTACTTACAAAAAATGGGACAAGCAATTGGATATGACATCTTATATTGATTGATACAATTTGATAAATTTTTTTCCCACCTTTTTTTGCAGGACCTCTAATTCAAGTGTTCAATGAGAAGAGCAAGTCAAGTTTGTGGCCTATCAAAGATCGTAAAGAGAAGGAAGTAATATGTCAGGTGTTTCTCTTCACCAATCATATGCTTCTGACAACCCGAGCATCAAATGGCAGGCTTCATCTCGCCAAAGTAAGTCTATAAAGTCACCAGCTATATATTTGGATGATCATACCGACTTCACTGTGACCTACGAAACAAAATAAAGTCCTAATTTATGGTCATTTTACTTAATCTGCAGTTTGTTTATGCTTTAGAAACATTCTGAAATAATATGCATATCTTTTACTGACTACTGCAGACCAGTTTTCTGAATCTGCAATCAAATTCCACAGAAATGTCATTTATAAAATTTTTCGTTTTTTCAAATCTCTTTTATATGCAATTTTTAAAAAAGTGCTGTATAAGATGTAAAATGTTTTAGTGTTGCAAATACTTATGGGAGAAATTGAAGTAAAAAAGGCAAAATCCTGACAATGTTACTATTTACCAATGTTGATGTTCACTGATTCATCATCTTCCTCTATTAATGGTCCAATATAACCAATACATGGTGCTTATGTCTCCCAACTGAACACAAGAGCATGTTCTGAGTAGGATCAATTTTTTTTAATAGAAGCAGGCTACTGACAAAAAAATTTAGGTTCAAGGGCTTCTCACAATCTCATTTAAAGTCAACATTTCTCAAATTCTGTGGTCAAGATAATGTCCTTGTTTGTCATATTTTGACTGATATGTTTAATACCAAATTGTTAGGCCTGTAACAATAAAGGAGAAAATGTATATGGCTGGACCGGGAATCAAACCTGGGACCCCTGCATCACTAGTTAGGTGCTCTACTGACTGAGCTACCCAGGCAGATATCCATGGCCCAAACCATTACAGACCATTGTTTTTATACTAATTTTGACTCTGGATTACTCCACCTGTTCACAACTGTGACCAGTTTACAGGGGATACTTACTCCTCCTGGGCCTACTGATCCCATCTCTGATTTCAGAGGTCCATGACTTTGCCCTATTTTCACCTTTTTCTTTGCAAAAGAGAAATTTAAACATTTTAAAGTTTTTGTAACAGATTTGAGCATTGTAAAAATCATACTCTATTTCTTGTGGTTTAAATAGATTTTATCAATGGTCTGGCTTACAATTTCTGGTTTCTGGAAAAAAAAAATGTTGTTCCATGGTTTGTTTTAAAGTTTAGAGAAAAAATCTATATTGCAAATTTGCTGAAAAGGGCGGTTGGGTGGGGGGTTAAAGAATGTGAAGAATGTTGAAAGACATTACTAATAATTTTTAGTGCTAAATTATTAATCATGGTCAATGCTACAGTCTGAAGTGGGAAATTCTTTATAATGGAGAAACCTAAGAACAAAGGAAGCTAATTCTTGAAGCAAAGCTTATGACTAGAGGGTGTCTGTTCACCTTAAATCAAGGTCAAAGCTTATCAAATTTCTGACCAATGTAATGCAAGAATAGTAGAATCATGTTTGGCACAGGGTTAGTTATAGAGGGTGTGTCATGACCCTGAGCAAAGCTACTATAAGTTTAAATGTGGAAATGTCTCTATGAAAACATTTTTGTGAATTTTTACAATGAATAAAGTTTAACAAAATTTATCACCACGTGGTGTTGTTAATTTTACCACATTTATTTTACTGTCTTTGATGTTTTGTCCAGATTGTATTAGTGTTATGAAGATATTACAAAATCGTCATGAGAGGCTAAAAGATTGCTTCAATTTAAAGGTCATGAATGTATACTTAATATACTGGAAATACTGTATGAGGGCATAAATTGGTAGTGTAAATTGTTTGTGGTATAACAGAGTTTAAATAGGCGTGTTTTTGAGTGGCTCTGTAGGTGATATTTAAGGGCAATTCCTTGTAACCACTTAAACTTCTTTGTCACCGATTTTGATGAAACTTTGCCCTTTATTACAACTTGATACCAGAAACATATATCAAATAAAATTTGGTTGCTGTGTGTCTTAGTTACCATGGTAACAACTGGGAAAGTTTGAAAAATTGAGATTTTCAGCTATTGGAATCTTTATTAAGCATTAATAAAGACTAGGAAAAACAAACAAACCATTACACCTTGTTGCCACTTACTATTTAGATATATCTCTTAAGAAAGTGGTAACCATGGGTACATTTGGAATACATTTAAATGCTGAAAAATGCTGAAAATTACTCAATGTTCACTAATTAAAGGTGTAACATGATCTAACCCAATCAACAACTTTAAAAAAACAATAAAAATATTTGACCTTAAGTAATTGGGTATTAGCAATATTATTGAATATTCTGATTAAATAACTTTCATGTTTACCATAGTAACACAGTGTAACCATGCAAAATCTGTTGCTCTTGAGGAAAAACATGAAAATTCAAGACTGGCAAATATACATCCTTAGGACCTTGTGACATTGACAATGTAAGGAAAACTGGGATTAATTGCTACTTTGCAGTGTAACCATGGAAACAACATACCAGTGCTTAAAAGTGCTTTTAAGGAACTTTTGGAATTTACTTACCTTTTAATCAAGAAATATATAATTTGACTCACCTTGAATAGTACTTATCTGGTAGAACTATAGTTGATTATCATATATTGATAAAGTTTGATTAAGAAAACAACATTGGTGCTATGCATGGTTACCAAGAAGGGAAAATGTTCTATTTTGTTAACTTTATACCAATATGAAACCCTATGTGGCAGCTTCTTGCATCCAGTTGGAGACTGGGTGGTAGTCAAAATTGAAAGTCAGGTTAGTTGTTCATAAACATCAATCATAGAAGTTTTGGGAATCTACATACAAGGATACAAATCTTAAGAAACAAACTATTTTGCAGATTTTTATATTTTTTCTGTTAATTTCCATAGCAATGCTCTATTTAGAGAAATTAATTTGAATTTTTTGAAATTTGAAAATTAAGACCACACCAATTGATCACTAGTTGAATAGAAATATGCTTTTTAAAAAAGTAGGATCAGATTAAAACTTACAGGGAGTAAATTTGAAATCCCTTTGGACGTGTGGTATTAAAACCATGGCAACCATTGCCAACTAATAAAAAATATCATATTTAGTCCTTGGTATATTTTACAAGGATCTTTTCTATATTATTTGGTTGCATTTTAACGTATAATTGTTTTTATTTTATAGTGTATGACTTTATAAAATTGAAGGAATAAAATTATTACCTGTGAATACTTTGTTTCCATAGAAACATATGTAATATTGCATTGCTGCAAACACTAACGTTTGGGCTCTGAACATGTTGAAAAATGCCATATTTCAAACTTCAGGACATGTTGCCATGGTAACCATGACACATAGCAACAAATTTTTGCCTGATTTGATTTCACGGTATCAAAGACTTTTTTTTAAAGAGTTTGAAGAAATTCTGAGACTATGCATGCCACAGCTCCTATATAAAAGTCCATCATTATAGAGAATGGCTCTTAATGTCTTTAGGACTGGGAGTCCTATCTATTACTTTGGTCTACAATAGCTTACTTAAGAAACTCACCAAGCTGATGTCCAAAAAAATACCCATTTCCTACTTTTTCTGGCATCAAATTAAAGCTAATGAGTCAAATATTAAGAAAGTGTAAGCATAGAAATAGAAATTAATTTTTTTTTCACTAAAAAAATCAATTTAATATAATTGATTAGTAAATAATGATTTGACATGCTTTTCATACACTCTACAGTAATCTTCAGACAAGAAATACACTAGCTTCATTGTCATGATTTTTATTGATTGTTTTGGACTAATTAACAGAATACCTTGCTTGATGTGACATCAGTGTGTGTATTTTTAATTTTTCTCGGACATCTGTTTATGACAGATCTGATTGTTCATTGATCTGTTTTTCTGAGAAGACCATTGTCAGGGTATGTGTTACACATATCCTCATTCTGTAAAACCCTGTATTGCTTGCTCTGGTGCAGGAAGAATCCAATATGGTGAACAAGAGCAGCCGTTGAGGTCTGCGTCTGAGGTCGGCCAGAAGAGGAGTCTGGTCTAGGTAGATCCTCAAGGACAGTGGATCATTATGATTCTGTACAATTGAGATATTTTTTTCCCCATGAGCAGGCCGAGGTAACAGTTGGTGCGGCTTGATTGAAGAGACTTTCACTGCTGCACAGACAGACAGGATATTAAGATAATGATTTCATCATTGTCACAATGGATTTTTAAATTCCATTAATTTTTAATTTAAAATATATGCATTTTCAAGTAGAATTAGTGTTTACATCAGGTAAGGTTTTCTGTTTATATCTGTTAATTATTAAAGTGGGAAAGGTATTGCTGTATTCTTCACCGAGATTCAGAGTCGATCAAGCTTTAAGTCAACTAAAGATGCTTCAATATACCAGTGCTATTTATTTGGAAAGGGTTCCAAACAAATTTTTTCCACAGATGAATTTTGCAGACATGCCTAATTTAAGAGTTTGTTGAATTCAATGTAACTAACCATTTATGTATTTTATAAATGAAGGATTGTGGTGTTATTGATATAATTAAGATTCATCCCCCCAAAACTTAAGAAACCAGATTACCAGTTCAGCACTATGACATTACAACCTACATGTACGGTTAATAAATTTTGGAAGAAGTTTCTAAAATTGCATTTTGTAGAATTTTTTTCACATGGCAGATTATCTATGAACAGAGTACAGTCTGACTAAAGCCAGCCCCTACTATTTCACTTCGTTCGTAGTGGGGGCTGGCTTTTAAGTCAGACTTGAACAGAGTACAAACAAGGAAAATTTTGCCCCTTTTTATTTTTCCCTCTCTTCATTTTCAAACTTTAAGATTTAAATATTTGCACAGAAAAAGTGACAGCTTTGGTCTAATTTTGCATGGTGCATTAATGCATTTGGACAAAAATAACTTGGGGCAAAAAATTTCCAATGTACATAAATGTATACTTATATGTTAAACATGTACTTTTAAGTTATTCTGTACTTTGATTTGATCTTCAGACATTGCCTAAAAGGCAGGTAAGACAAAAAGTTCTCATTCCTGGTGTTTCTATCATGGCAACACTTGCTCATCACCGACACATCTGTAGGGTTTTTGTAGAAATCACACCTGAATTTATGTTGTTCAATTAAAGATTATATATATAATTACTTATTAAACACCTTTTTTTAGTGTAGTATGATGTTATATATAACTTCAGTGCAATTATTTATATTAAAAATGTTAAGACACTGAAATGAGGATCAAAGAAAATCCTTAAACACAAATGTATCATTGTTGTAATGTAGAGATATAGTAATTAGCCATTCTCTTATTCTATATCAGCTAGTTCTTTTTTACTGATCAGTGCCTGTAATTATATACCTGTATATGAAAACAGAGCTCCAACCTTCTCCAGAAAGCATGACCTCTTTCCAAAATACTCTATTGTGTTTTCATGTATCTGTAACCTTCTTGACTGATTTGATGAAGGGGATTAAAATCACTTGTAAACACAGAGGTAGTGAAGATAGTGAGTGTTTACACTGTAACTTATTTTAAAAAATATATTTTCAAGTATCCTCATGTGTTGTAGAATAAAATGTGTTCAAACCATGGTTTCTGAAGCAAAGATGAGCTAGAAAGGATTCTTAAATTAAAAAAAAAAACTTGCTCAGATTACCATTAAGTCCATGGACTTCTTTTTAATTTCTTACTTGGGGTGCCAGGTACAAAGATGATGATTGGATATTTTATTTGTGTAAATAAAGTTAATCCCTAATACTATTTGGTCTAGTTATGCCAACTTAATTCATATGTCATCCCAAATCTCATTGACCAGCTCATGTAATTTAGCATTCCAATCGATTACTGTAAATCACTATTTATTCATGAGAATGTTACTTTCGTGTAATTATGCAAGACCATCTGCTCATGAAAATGTCATTCTTGCTTATATTTGTATTAATAAAGATTATGACATATAAAAATTAACAAAATTTGTCAAAATTTTCTCTTGCTTATAAATACCAAATAACCGTCTTGCAAAAACATGGTGTCATGAAAATTTGGTGATCTACATGATTAACTTGTTAACTGCATTTTATTTTTTGTTTTTGATTAACCAATTACAGATTTTCCATTCAATTACCACTGTTCTGACCAAGCAAACAGTTAAAAATTGCCATTCCTATAAAATTTGTATGTCACCCAACATCTTGCATGATCACCTTACTTAATTTTTATGTCAAGTCATATCTCACGTGATCAACTGACATAATTTACATCAGCCCACATCTCACAAAATTAGCCCATTTCATTCATACATCAACCCACATCTCACAGAATTAGCCCATTTCATTCATACATCAGCCACGTCTCACAAAATTAGCCCATTTCATTCATACATCAGCCCACATCTCACATGATTAGTCCACTTCATTCATACATCAGCCCACATCTCGCATAATTAGCCTACCGGCACTTCATTCATACATCAGCCCACGTCTCACGTACTTAGCCCACTTCATTCATACATAGCACACATCTTGCATGAATGTACAGAAGTGCCCACAATGGATTTGAACTATAATGCTAAGGGTCCAGTATGAATAAGAATATTAACTTGTATGTCCAGAGAATCAGTCTTTTACATGAAGTTCAGGTAAAATTGATAGTGAATGTTGGCAGGATACAAAATATGCATACATTTAGGAAACAAGACTTCTTTACCATTTTACAAATGACATAGTATGGTTGGAATAAATATCCCTGTGTGCTGACATTATATCCCAGTCCTTTCCATTATTATATGTATAGCTAGGATGCTGTATCTACTGCTATTATATCTCCACACAAATGAATTACTGACAAAATAGACTCAGTAAAGAAATTCACATTAGCTTTATTGTAGTGGATTTGTAAATGCCTATAGGTACATTTTAATAGATTTAGGATAATGTATGTAATTTATGATTGTTTTTCAGCACTATGGGAAGATCCCCCTAATTGATTGTACACTGATAGAGGACCCAGGGGCAGAACCCTTTATAAATGACCCTGACAGTGAGTTTCTATAGTGTGTTGTTATAGTTTTATAAATGAATCTATCAGAGTTTCTATTCTATTATTTTAGAGGCTTCATTGATGACCCTGACATTGGGTTTCTAGTGTGTTATTATAGAGAATTTACAAATGAACCTTACAATGAGTTTCTAGTATGTTATTGTAGAGGCTTTATAAATGATCCTGACAGTGAGTTTCCAGTGTTTTATTGTAGAGGCTTTATAAATGACCCTGACATTGAGTTTCTAGTGTGTTATTGTAGAGCTTTATAAATGACCCTGACATTGAGTTTCTAGTGTGTTATTGTAGAGGCTTTATAAATAAATCTGACATTGAGTTTCCAGTGTGTTATTGTAGAGGCTTTATAAATGAATCTGACATTGAGTTTCTAGTGTGTTATTGTAGAGGCTTTATAAATGACTCTGACATTGAGTTTCTAGTGTGTTATTATAGAGGCTTTATAAATGACCCTGGCATTGAGTTTGTAGTGTGTTATTTTAGAGGCTTTATAAATGACCCTGACGTTGAGTTTCTAGTGTGTTATTGTAGAGGCTTTATAAATGACCCTGACATTGAGTTTGTAGTGTGTTATTGTAGAGGCTTTATATATAAACCTGACATTGAGTTTTTAGTATGTTATTATAGAGGCTTTATAAATGAATCTGACATTGAGTTTCTAGTGTGTTATTGTAGAGGCTTTATAAATGACCCTGACATTGAGTTTCTAGTGTGTTATTGTAGAGGCTTTATAAGTAAATCTGACAGTGAGTTTCTGGTGTGTTATTATAGAGGCCTTATAAATGAACCTGACAGTGAGTTTCTAGTGCTTTATTATAGAAATTTAATAATAACCCTGACATTGAGTTTCTTGTTTGTTATTTTAGCTAATTTATAAATAAATCTGACAGTGAGTTTCTAGTGTGTTGTTGTAGAGGCTTTATAAATAAATCTGACATTGAGTTTCTAGTGTGTTATTGTAGAGGCTTTATAAATGAATCTGACAGTGAGTTTCCAGTGTGTTATTATAGAGGCTTTATAAATGACCCTGACATTGAGTTTGCAGTGTTTTATTGTAGAGGCTTTATAAATGACCCTGACATTGAGTTTGTAGTGTGTTATTGTAGAGGCTTTATAAATAAACCTGACATTGAGTTTGTAGTGTGTTATTGTAGAGGCTTTATAAATGACCCTGACATTGAGTTTCTAGTGTGTTATTGTAGAGGCTTTATAAATGACCTTGACATTGAGTTTCTAGTGTGTTATTGTAGAGGCTTTATAAATGAATCTGAGAGTGAGTTTCTAATGTGTCATTGTAGACATTTTCTTTATAGTTAGGATTCCAATGTGATTTATACTGCTACACTGTAGGAAAAATACTTGAAAATATTCTGTAAATTATACCTTGATTTTATCTTCTGAATGTAAGTTATTTCCTTGTATTAATTCAATAATTAATTTTTTTTCTCAGCATCTTCAGTAGATTCTATAGACAGTATCCGAAGTACAGGCTCTTTAAATACCCTCATCCAACCTGGCGAGAAGGAGACACGCACAGATTACAATGGACTAGACTTTAAAATTATAGTAGATACCAAGAGTGGGAACGGGACATCCATTACTTTAGTGGCAGCCACTCGCCAGGAAAAACTGGCGTGGTGCTCAGACATCAGTCAGGTGGTTATAAACAATTTCCCTGACAGTATTCACAGTGGTTTTTTCTCATTATTCAAAAAAAGCTGAACTTTAATACAATCACATTTACTAAAGATATCTGTTTATAATGCCTAATATCAGTTGGCCACCATAGCCACTTCAGGGCTGCATTCAAGATTGTAGCAGCTAACCCGGCTGCTAGGCTAGCTAGATATCTAGGCCTTGCAATTGAACACACTGTATGAATTAAAACTTATTATGCTAGCATATCATACCATTCAAGATTGTAGCAGCTAGCCTAGCTGCTAGGCTAGATATTTAGGCCTATTGAACACACTATGAATCAAAGCTTGTTATAAATGATAGCGTAGCATACTTAAAAAATCATAGCTCTTCTTAGACCTTAGCTGCTATGATCTTGAAAACAGCCCAGGTATTGCTAGTCTGTCAATTTTTTCTTCTCTGGACAGAGCTATTAGGCAAATTTTACAAAATGTTCCTTTAATTGGGTAGAGGGCCGGATCATGGGTAGTAGAGATAAAACCATGTCAGGGATTCAAACGTTTACAGTCAGCAACAAGTTGAAGAAAAATTACAAGATATACATAGGAGCCTCATGTAGTGTGTGTTCATTTTAATTATGAAAATATGAGGTAGATTTGTCTCCAATGACTTTTTGTTGTGGTCTCAGGTGATTATTAAGGCCCACAGACCTCTGAATATTGTGATCAAAAATCATTTATATTTAAGTGTCATACTTGCATGCACTGTAACTAGCTATGATACTATGATATTTTAACTGGATAATGTTTAATGATTAACATGCTGGCTTAAGGTGAACAAGTTGTTTGTGTAGTTTTAACATTTCCTGTGTAATATATGTTTGTAGTGTATAGAAGATCTCCACTATAGTGATCTCCTGAATACCTCAATGAGTGAATCATCCTCAGTCACCATGCCTCAATCTGTCAGGTAAGAATCCCCCCTCCCCCTTGTGTGTAATGTTTACAGTGTATAAAAGATCTCCACTATGGTGACCACCTTAATACCTCATTGTATGAATCATCCTCCCTCACTGTGCCTCGATTCTCAGGTAAAAATCCCCCTCTCCCAACCCCTAAACCTGAACTAGCTGTATGTGCAGCCAGTTTTACAGGCAAGGCTTTCAAATTTTAATTCCTCTTGCAGTTTAAAAAAGTAAACATGCAGGGTCAATTTAAAAAAAAAATCTACCTTTACATTCTAAAACCGCAGGGTGATTCAACCTCAAGGTGTTGGTCTCCAGTTTTTCTTTGTTTTGTATTCTAAAATTGGTACTTGGACCCCTGCATCCCATTAGGTATCCACCATTATGATCAGTGCTTTAATTTACATGCAGGGTGATTGAAATTTTTGCCATGTAAAATTTACTCTTTAGGAAGAGGATTAAAAATTAAAAGCCATGTCAGCCATTTTGTTCATATTTGATACAAAAATGCCCATATCACAAAAAAAACTTGATAATATCATAATTCTGGGTTTGTATAAAATTAAATTGGATCAATAGGCATCCAAAATATAAAGAATTAAAGATTTCAAATTATAACAATATTACTATTTTTTGCATGGTTTTTGCCCTTTTTCTACAGCAATTGGTTCATGCACAACAATAATTTACTACAAGTATACAAACATGGATGTGAATTTTTCATTCTTAACAATTTAAATTATGTCATCTCGATTTCAGTAGCACTGTGACATCATCAGGGTTTCATGTTATTCTCTGAGCATTATATAATACTCCAAATACTGGTTAATAGCTTTAAAAAAATATTCTTTTTATTTTTTTTTTTATAACTATGAAATTATTTAGTTATACCAAAGGTATTTAAAACAGTTACCAAATGCCTAATCAGGGAATAGATTGCAATATATTTCCCAAATTACTTGGATCAGCTCGTTGTGTTCTATTGCCCGAGACCATTTTGGAATCTTACAATTGGAATACATTATTCCAAATATTACATATCACTGGTCAATCTGCATCAGAAAATTTTATTTCATTCAACTTAGACTGAATTCCTGCATGCTTTTATTTACTAACAAGCAAGCCAACAGCTATTAGCCTTTACAAATCACAATATAATTTTTTAAAATTTTTACAATAATCTTATAATATATTTTAGCTTTAAATTTTCGTTTCAATATCCAAACTGTATGAATGCAGTTATTAATATCCATGCTTTCATAAATTTGGAAGTATCCAGACATCATCCATGCATCATATATTGTGGATATCAGGATAATATTCATGCATCATTACTAATATAAATATCCAAGCTAATATCATTACTTTTATCATTGCTTATGGATTTCCAGGCTAATATCCATGCTTTGATCCTATGGATATCCAGGCATATATCCAGGCTTTGATCTTGTGGATATCCAGGCTAATATCCATGCTTTGATCTTGTGGATATCCAGGCTAATATCCATGCTTTGGTCTTGTGGATATCCAGGCTAATATCCATGCTTTGATCTTGTGGATGTTCAGGCTGTATAAGTTCTTATTTTTGTACCAATAGCTGTTGCTGTTTGCTGGCTGTGCACATTAACTTAAGCTTATACTAACACAGCTTTATTTAATAGAGATTTTTTCTGACCAACATTTGTCTGTCAATCAAATCATTTACCTCTTGATTCTATTGTATTTGTCTTTGTCAGAAGATATGAATTAAGTAAAGGAAATTGTGAAAATTTTGAACTTGAAACACATTAATAAAGTCATTTATGGTCATATATATCCATGTGAAAGACATGCATATAATAAATACAGCCATTAAACCTGATATCACAAATATTTATCTTGAAATAATAATAATAGAGAGAGAGAGAGAGAGAGGTTAAAGTAAAGCATGGGAGGAAAATTTAATTGTAATAAATTTTAATGGTTATATTCCTTTTCAATTTTTTTTCACATGTTTCTAGGCATGGTGAAAATTTTGTGCATTTTATATCTGATACTGGCATTACCTGGTGTATGACTAGAACACTCAATATACTTGAGTGTTAAGTTTGATGCTGCAATCTTTAAGCATGATTATATTCACTAGCAGCCATTGTGACTCAGGTGAGCACTGTGGCCTATAAGCCTGTGTTTATTCACTAGTTTTTGCATGCTTTTCAGATACATCCACAGCTCTCAGATATGGTGAGTCCTTGTTGTTTTACAGGTTGGAGGTATACTGTAGTAAACTCTTCGTTTTCAGACAGCATTGGGGAAGTTATTTTAAAGTTGGGGATGTTACTTTAAAAAAATAAAAGAAAGGAATAATAAAAAATATAAATCCATCTGTAATTCTTAAGAGATACATTTATTTAATAAAAAACTCTGGAAAAAAAAATGAAGCACATGTATGCAAAAAATTCATTACTGGTTTTAAAATGTAGTTCAGAAATGTTTCAACAATAAGAAAATTAGTTTATGATTATATGTTTCTTTATCATTCTGCATCAATGTTGCCGAAATATGGCTGAATACTGTCAGATCAGTGTATTCAACCTATTTTTATTTTGTATGACTTTTAAACTAGCAGTATAAAATGACCAATTTTTGCAATTTCTGAACTTTAATTGTGTATGATCTTCTAACTTTTTTATAGATATGATTTTTTATAGCTTCTTTTGGCAGAAAAAATTTTAGAACAAAAGTTGTTTCTCAATTCTGTACTCCACTGTCAGATTTATAGTAGAGCAAAGTCCTTTTAATTTTAAGTATAAATTAGCATTACAGATGGTCCTAGATATCAGCTTCTATTCCATTGTCAGTAAATATACCAATCATTTATTATTTGGTTCCCTAGGACCAATTAAGTTCTTAACCAAGGATAAACATGTAGTCTTAGATATGGGACTTGGCAACAATTCTTGAAAAAAGAGATAATGCATTGTTTGCAGTGTTGGAGAGGACACTAAATAAAATTTAAACTTAAAGATAGGTTATCCTCTAAAGATCCAGTTGGTTAGAAAATGCAACTAATTCAAATGTGTTCAAATGACATATTGGCCAGTGGTTCAATTGAGGTGACAATGGGAACTAAAGATTTACATAGGAATGTATGTGTGTATATACTTGTGTATATACATGTATGTATGTTTGTTTGTTTATTGTTGTTTAACGTCCCTGTCGAGAAATTTTCACTCATTTGGAGACGCCACCACTTGCCTGTGGAGAGCTGCAAATTTTGACCTATACTCGGCACTCAGGGCCATTGAACATTGAGGGATCTTTTTTGTGCCAGCACTTACTGTGACACAGGACCTTGGTTTATACGGTCTCATTCAAAGGACCAGTCTCCACATCTCACAGTGGGATTCGAACCCGCGATGTAAGGTTCAACTGCTTACTCTAGAGGAAATGCGCTAACCACTGCGTGATGCGGGCGCATGTATGTAGAACACTCTATAATATCTAAGAAAATCACAGTCAAAGATGCTTTTATTAAAAGGCAAACATTTTTATACAGGAAACAGATTTATGTTTGGTCAATCTTTGGTCTCCTTTTAGGACAGAGAACATTCATTATATGATACTAAAATATGTCAGATGAGTGCATTAGTGTTTTATGTCAGTATATTAGTATTTTACCCCTTGAGTCTGACCTCCTCTGCTTTATGACATGAAGTTGAGTTTTTCAAATCTTGTCCAAATGTTATATTTTAAATTTGTTGGTTTATCTATTTTATAATGTGTCTTTGCAATGTTTTTATAAATCAATATTGTCATTTATCCTTAATATTATTATCCTTAATACGTACAGTGAAGTTAATAGGAAACCCAGAGTGAATGAAATAGATATCATCATTGGGTTTCATGTATTAATTGATCTAAAAAAGAAATTCCAAAATTGTTTTACTGTTTTCCTAACCCCTGTGGCTTGTTGTCTGTAAACTTTTCACATTTTATTTCTCTGTTAACCATTGTAAACACTTGGGCATTTTCAACAAGACCTGTCATCACTTTTAACACAGAGGGCTTAAAAAGTCTATTTTCCCTTCTAATTAGGGACCTTGAATTGTGCATATTTCAGTATTGAAGAAAGATGCGTACTAGTTTCATAGGGAAATCTATTTGAATATTTTCAAAATTAGTGGGATAGATCTCCACTTATATGATAATTCCACATTATTTTTACAGTCATTAGATTTAAGGTAAAATCTTAATATACAGGGCGTAATTGGGCATGTTTGGTAATTCCCATTTTACAAAGCAGAATTTTACATTTAGTTTAGATTTTTTATTATATTTTTGGGAGGAAGGGGGGGGGGGCAAATTTTCAGTTGTTTAGACCAGATACTTAGCTGGACATATATCACTTAAGTTTCTATACTTTCAGGTCAGATCGTAGACTGTTTTCGGATGATGTGGATATAAAGTTCAGCAGGACCCTTAACTCCTGTAAAGTTCCGCAGGTGAGAACTCTTTTGTGTTCTGTAGTCAGGCAGAATCTAACACTCATTTCATGTCATTTAATCAGGAAAAAGTACAGCAAAATTATTCCTTTTTTGCTAAGTATTGATTGAGCATCATTTGATTTTTCTTAATTTTTAGCTCATCTGAGTGAGCTTTTCTGATCAAAATTTGTCTGTTGTTGTTGTCATAAACTTTATACAATTTCTTCTTCTCCAGAACCACTGGGCCAATTTCAACTGAACTTGGCACAGAGTATTCTAGGGTGAAGGGGATTCAAGTTTGTTCAATTGAAGGGCCAAATGTATTCAAGGGGAGATAATTATGAAAAAGTAAAAATTGGGTAGGGTCCTTTAAAGATGTTCTTCATAAGATTCGCAAGGCCAGAAAAGAAAAAATTCATGTGCAAGCTTCCATACATAGTGTTGATTCAACTTTATTCAAATCATGACCCCAGGGGGTAGGTTGGGACCACTATGGGCAAAGTTTTACATGAATATTTATAGGGAAAATCTTAAAAATCTTCTTCTCAAAAACAGCAAAGCCATGTATGGAAGCATCGTCAGATAGTGTAAATTCAAGTTTGTTCAAATCATATTCCCCCCCCCCCCCCCCCCCCCCCCCCCAGTAGGGTGGGTCCACAATGTGCAATCAAATTTATACAAAGGAATACATACAGGAAGTCTTCTTTTTTTCAAGAACTGCAAAGCCATGAGCAGACATATTTATATGGAAGCATCCATAGGTAGTGCATATTCTAGTTTGTTCAAATCATGACCCTTGGGGGTAGGGTGGGGCCACATTGGACAATGAAAGTTTTACATAGGAATACATAGGGAAAATATTTAAAATCTTCTTATCAAGAACAGCAAAGCCATGATTGGTCATATTTATATGGAAGCATCCTCAGGTAGTGTAGATTGATGTGAATTCAAATTTTGACCCTCAGGGGTAGGGTAGGGTTAGGGCTACAATGGGCATCAAAGTTTTACAAAGGAATGTATAGGAAAAGGAATCTACTGTTAAAGAACAAGAAGCGCAATAGTTACTCAGGTTAGCATTATGGCCCATGGGCCTCTTGTTTAAAAATACATCAAATGGAATATTTCTAAAGATTAATTCTTTTATATTGATAAGTTTCTTGAAACAAAGTGGTTCTTAAGTTGGAAGACTTTTGTTAAGCAAGAAGGCTAGAAGAAAAGACACGTTTTTTTGTAATTTAGATTCGACATGCCAGCGTAGAGCGTATTTTGGACCGCCTAACTGATCTCCGGTTTTTAAGTATTGACTTCCTGAACACGTTTCTCTTGACCTACCGTGTGTTTACTGATGGTAAGACAGTTCTGGAGGCATTGAAGAGAGTTTACAAGAATCCAGAAAGTGGAAATCTAGAGACTTCCCTCACGTCTTGCCAGTACGTATACCTCACTGTACGATACCTCACTGTACGATACTTTATTTGGTGTATATTGCCTTCACTCTTATTTTTTGTGATTCATTCCCAAACAGATATCAATAACACTTTTTTAAAACAGTGTTTAAAGCTAGAATTTCCTAAATTCTATGGTCATTATAATAACCTTGTTAGCAAATATAACCTACCATTGGGTCGTATTTTGGATGACGTGTTTCATACCAATTATTATGCTTTTGTGTTTTTATACTAAATTTGACTATGGAATGTTCCGTCTACCTGATCAATACATAGGACTGGTGGTGGGTGTGACAGGTCAACTGGGGATGCTTGTTCCTCCTAGGCACCTGATCCCATCTCTGGAAATTCCAGGGGTCCATATTTTATGCCCTGTTCAGAGATTTGTATTGTTTGTAGATTTTTTTTTAGATCGATCACTGTTTGTATCTTCACTTTTTTCATCTTAGAGGGGTTGAGTTATCTTGTACAATGCTGGTTTGATGTTGATGCATAGGAAAAGTATGGAAAATGATCTAGAAATAGAAATAAGCTTGTCTTAAATGTGTACCCACAGAATTGCAAGTCCTTTGCATGAATTTGAATACTTAGAAGCAGGAAAAGTAGACCTAGTGGTAAATACAAAATAACTCCAACGAACATTTTCACATTAAGTAGTTTAAGAAAAAATACCATCATTCATGAATTAAATTCACATCCATGCATGCATGCATGACCCACAATTGGCACACAAAATTTTATACAGAAATACTGTAGACATAACTTTTTTTCATGAGGGATTAAT